TGTAAACTGTCTCCTTTTAAAGTCACTGTCTACAGTTTTCAGCGAACAACAGACCCTGCATTTTCTCTGCAGTATATTTGAACAGCAATCACCACTGACCCCTAGTTCAATCTCCAAATCATAGATTCATACAGTGCAGAAAGGGCCCTTCAGCAGCAAAGTCTGCAGCAAAATAACTACCACTAAACATGCGCTAATCCCAATTTTCCACTTATCTGTTTGAATGTTATGATATTTGGAGTACTCGTGCAAATATTTTTAAAGGTTGTAAGATTTCTATTCTCCACTACCTTCTGAGGCAATGCATTCCAGCTTCCAACCACCTGCTGAGTGAAAATGTTTTTTCCCAAATTCCCTCCGAATCTCCTGGCCCTTAACCTAAAACTATGCCTTCTCATGATTGACTCCTCAACCGTGGGGCACAGTTCCTCTCTAATCATCCTGTCCATGCCCCTCAATCTTATGCACCTCAATCATGTCCCACCTCAGTCTTCTCTGCTCTAAAGAAAACAATTCAAGCCTATCTAATATCTCCTTATAGCTCAATTTCTCCATCCCAGGCAACATCCTCGTGAACCTCTTCTGTACCCCCTCTAATGCTATCACATCCTTCCCGTAGTGAGATGACCAGAACTGACCAACACTCCGTTCAACTCCAACATTACCTCCTTGTTGTTATATTCTGTGCAATGATTGATGAAAGTAAGTGTCCGGTATGCCTTAACTATTCTATTCACGCGTTCTGCAGATTTCAGGGATCTGGGAATAACTACCCCAAGATCCCTCTGTTCCTCTAAGCTACCCAGTGTCCTGCCATTCATTAAATACTCCTGCATCTTGTTTCTTCTTCCAAAGTGCACCACCTTGCACTTAGCAGGGTTAAATACAATCTGCGATAGGAGGAACTGCAGATGCTGGAAAATCTGAGACAACAAGGTGCAGAGCTGAATGAACACAGCAGGCCAAGCAGCATCGTAGGAGCAATAAGGTTTTCTGATGAAGGGTCTAGGGCCGAAACGTCAGCCTTACTGCTCCTACGATGCTGCTTGGCCTACTGTGTTCATCCAGCTCTGCACCTTGTTGTCTTAAGTACAATCTGCCACTGGTCTGCCCATCTAACCAACCAATCTATATCTTCCTGTAACCTGCAGATCAAGATAGCAGCGGAGTAAGACTCGTCAGCTTGAGCTCGTCCACTCTGTCCATTTTTTTTCTGTTTCTTCTCTCTTATGTTTTCTTCCTTCTTGGCGATGTCCTGAACTCCTGGCCTCAGCGCAGACTTGGACTCCCGGCCTCAGTCTGGCATGGTGGTCTCTCAGTGGCCTGTCATGGCTGTCTCTTAGCGGCCAGGCATTCCTTCGGCCTGGTATGGCCTCAGCATGGACTTCCAGCCTCTGATTCTAGAGTGGTCTCCCGGTCTCAAGAGCTTTGAGGTGAACGCCAGCAAGGACTAGAGGCTAGGTGCAAGCATGAACTGGGTTGGAAGGACTGTTATTCTGAACATTTTATTTCTCTATTTTCTAATTTATTTCTATGATCTGTAGTGCTGTACTTTTTCTTTATTCTTCCAATTTTTCTTTCCCTTATGAATTTGTACTTAAGAACTTGTACCAAGTTCCACTTGTACCAGCTGCCTAATTAGGGACAGTCAGTGATGCTATTTGCAGGTCATGTATTACTAACTTGATTTTTTCAAGGAGCTGACAAAGGTGATTGATGAGGGTACAGCAGTGGACGTTGTCTAGATGGATTTTTGTAAGGCTTTCGACAAGGTCCCTCATGGTAGGCTCATCCAGAAGATTAAGATGCATGGGATGGCCACGTGGATTCAAAACTGGCTTGCCCATAGAAGACAGAAGGTAGTGGTGGAAGGGTGTTTTTCAGCTGGAGCTCCATGGGTAGATGTGGATAGTGCTGAAGGTTGTGAGGCTGCAGAGGCTGAGGGGAGACTTGATAGAAATGTATAAAATTATGACATACATAGTTGGGGTCGACAGTCAGAATCTTTTCCCTAGAATTGAAATGTCTAAAACTAGGGGGCATGTATTTAAGGTGAGAGAGGGAAAGTTCAAAGGAGATATGAGAGGCCAGTTTTTTTTTTTAAATGCAGAAGGATGGTAGGAGTCTGGAACGTGCTGCCAGGTTTGATGGTGGAGGCAGATATTAAAGGGGCATTTAAGAACCTTTTAGATAAGCACATGAATATTCAAAGAACGGAGGGATATTACCCAGGGCATGCAGACGGATTAGTTAAATTTGGCATCATGCTCGGCACAACATCGTGAGCCGAAGGGCCTATTCCTGTGCTGTATTGCTCTATCTTCTACCTGAGATGGCACCATAAGTGGTGAGTTGTAAATTTCTCACTGTACTCATTCTGTGTGTGACAATAAACCTACAACCATCTCCTTCACTATGAACCACTCTACCAATCATGTTGTCTTGTGCAAATTTGCTTAACATTCCCCCCTTATTTTCATCCATATGACTTATACATATAAAACAAAAAAAGGGTCCCAGTACTGATCCTTGCGGTACACCACTGGACACAGGCATCCAGTCACTCCAACTGCCTTCTACCACTACCCTGTGTCCTATTATTAAGCCAGTTTCTGATCCATCATGCCAAGTTTCCCTCAACTCCATGTACTTTAACTTTCTCAATCAGTCTCCTTTGTGGGACCTTGTCAAAAGCTTTGCTGAAATCCATATAACGTGCATCAACTGAACTTCCCTCATCCCCACACCTGATCACATTTTCAAAACATTCTAATGAAGTTATTAGGCATCACCTGTCTCTGACAAAGCCATGCTGACTATCCCTAATTAACCTATGCCTTTCCTAATGGGTGTTAATTAAGAATTTTCTCCAATAGTTTCCCTACCACCAACATGAAGCTCACCAGTCTAATTTTCTGGTTCATCTCTACCTGCCCTCTTAAAAACCACATTAGCCGTCCTCCAGCACTTCCCCTGTCCCCAGAGAGGAAATAAATATCTGTGTCAGAGCCCCTGCAATTTCCTGCCTCACCTCCCATATCAGTTTGGAATGCAATTCATCCAGGCCAGGGTATTTGTCTATTTTTAAGCCTGACAGAGCCTCCAATATCTCCACATTTCCTAGGGCAAACTGTGCACGTTCCCTACAGACTCTTTTCCTGAATTCCATATTACGTTCTCATTTTCCAGAGTGAAGACTGAAGAGAAGCATTCATTCAACACGCTTCCAATATCCTGTGCTTCATACACAGGTGTGTACTACCCACCACCCCAGTCCCTAATGGGCCCTATTCGTTCCCTGGATGACCTCTTTCCTTTATTGTATTTATAAAATATCTTAGGATTCTCCCTAATTCTGTTTGCAAGACTTTCTCACGCCCCCTTTTTGCTCTTCTAATAGCTTTCTTAAGTTCCCTCCTGCACTTCCTGTATTCCTCTAGGACCACAGCTGAATTGTTCCCTTTGGACTTGATCTTCCTACTCTTCTTCTTTATCCAGTCCTGAATTGTTCTAAACATCCAGGGTTCTCTGAACTTATTGCTCCTACATTTCCCTCTAAAGGATCCATATTGGACCTGTACTTTCCCCGGCTCCTTTCTGAATGACCTCCATTGCTCCACTGTAGACTCTTTGCTGTAGATCCATTTTCTGTTTCTAACACCAGAGCAACTTACATGGCATGGAGCTCCAAGGCAAGTCTGAACACAAAGTGTTAAACATAGCCAAGAGCTATTTAGATGAAACATACACTAACTTATGCAATATTTTAACCATAATTGTTTAAGCTTTGCTCTAAAGTCTTCACACAAAATAAAACTGAAGATTTTTGTTTTTAAATCAAACTTCTAGAAGTGTACAATGTTGCTTTGTTGATCAAAGTTGGGGGAAGGAGCAGTCTGTATGACATTCATTTCAGCTGTTAGTGGCATTTCCTCTGGGGATGTTATCACAATATATTCAGTACATGAAACTCCGCAATGATTTGCTGACATACCAGTAAGTTACGTCTTTACTAAATCCTTGCTAACACTTAACTTTCCCTTTCAATTATCAGAACAGATGCCAACCAGATTGTGTTGTAACCAAATTTGGAAGCACTTTACTTTAAGAAAGACAGCTTTAACCAATGATTTCTGATGGTCTGCCCTTTTCCTGCTCTCCTAACAATAAAGCAACATGCAGAATTGTGTTCCAGTTAAATAATCTAACTGTACAATCTCTCATACAACAGTGATTTAGTTTATCAGAATCAACTCAGGTCTGGATTGGAGATAGGTTTTCACTGCAATCTAGTCTCTAAAGAGCGACAAATGAAACACAAACCCATTTCTGAAGAAAGGTCTAGGCCCGAAACGTCAGCCTTCCTGCTCCTATGATGCTGCTTGGCCTGCTGTGTTCATCCAGCTCTACACCATGTTATCGCACTTTGACATATCTCAGTACGAAAAACACAGTCCTTTACAAATCAATATTTTTGACAGTTCTATTCTCTGCGCTCCTTCAACAATGCTCCTCCCCAGCCTCAAATCCTGTCCATGCCTTACTTTTATTATTTTGGCAAATGTCTCTTTTTCCACCCAACCCTCGTTTCTCTGCATAATCTTCCTCACCCAGGAACCAAACTCACACCACCCATCCCCCTCCACTCTTCACCCATCCCCAACCCTACACATCTTTTGCCTCACACTCTTCCCTCTTCAACTCCTTTCTGTGAAACCCCTCTCCCTCATTTCTTTCTCCTTTCTCTCTGTTCTCCCCTTCCCCTCCTCTTCCCGTGTCTCTCTGGTTCCCCTCTCCTTCTCACCACCTCTCCCTCACCCACTCCACCCCCGCAGCTCCCTGTGGTATACCTCCTCCTTTCCTCACTTTCACATCACCTTCCCTCCATTCCCAACACCACCACCACCCTCTCCCCTAGTCCCACTCTTCCTCAACTCTTTACCCTTCTCCCCTCACACCCTCCTCCCTTTCTTTCTCTGACCCTCACCCTCTCTCCTCACCTCTTGCTGAGGGGTCGGACCCTCACGGCCACTTGTACATTGGCCATCAGTCAGGAGGGTTAGTCTTATCGCTGGGCTCTACTTCACCACCGCAGCTTCAGGGGCCAGTGTCATTTTCCGCTAGAATAAAAGGGCCAGCCTGCCTCGCCCGAACGAGATGTCTATCCGGACACACTCGCTCCTCACACGGCCGCCTATACTACCATTCCGCCGGACAGTCAGTATCGCGAGTCAGTCCGCACAAGAAGGGGGGCGGTCCGAGGGAATGTCAATCAGGACATGGGGCGTGCCGCAGGACTGTCAATCAGGACATCGGCGACGGGCCGAGGGACGGTCAATCAGGACATGGGGGCGGGTCGAGGGACTGGCAATCAGGACTTGGGGGCCGACTGAGGGACTAACAATCAGAACATGGGGGCGGACGGAGGGAAAACCATCAATCAGCGCCAGGGAGAGGGCAAGAGGACTATCAATCACCGGGGCCGGAGCGAGGGTCCGTAGGACAGTAAAGAAGCGGGGCGAAGGGCGTGCCAATCAGCGCGGAGTGGGGCTGTCAATCAGTACAGTGGGTGGAGCGGGCTGGCAATCAGAGGCGGGGATTGGGCCTGCCGCAGACGCTAATCTCATGGATGACGCGAGAACTGATGAGAGGGGAACACGCTGATTGGGCGGGGTGGGGACTGTACTCTTATTGACGGGTGGTCTGGGTGGTGGCGGGCGTTTTCCATTCTAACGGTCGAGTGTTCTGGATAGTGGTTCAGTGCGGAGCACTCTCGTCACAGGACCAAGAACGTCCACGGTTCAAACACTACACTTAGGTTTCAGTCAGTACAGACGGAGAATGTTTTCGCATCTGCTTGTTTAGGAAGAGACAAATATATGATAGTATCCTAAAGAAACAGCGGTGGAGAACCCTTCGACCGTTATCCTGAGAAAACAACAGGTTACGTGCCGTCACAATTGTCACACTCTTGTTCCATTCATTAAAAATGTTTGGGGAATATGGATGTTAGTTTGTGATAATGACGCACCCAGGGCAGAAACATCGAATTAAAGTAGAATCTGGAATCCCTGGAAGCAGGCCATTTAACCCGTCACGTCCACACTATCCCACCTAGCCCCATCCCATCCCTGTAACCATGCACTTTCCCCAGACACAATGAGCAATTTAGCATGACCAGTCCGCCTAACCTGCACATCTTTGGACTATGGAAGGAAACTGGAGCACCTGGAGGAAACCCACGCATAATATGCAAACCCCACACAACAGTCTCCTGAAGCTGGAATCAAACACAGGTCCCTGGTGCTGTGGGGCAGTAGTGCTAGCCACTATACTGCACCGACTTGAAGTTGCCCCCAGCCCCTTTGAGGAAACTGCCTGGGGGTACATCACCAGTGAGAGCAGTGGGATTCAAACCCACAACTCAATAGAGACAAGAGGTTAAATCCAGCATCTTAGATCACTCGGCCTCACTGCTGTGTGTACTCAATTAGTTGTTTGTTTAGAGACAAACACAGAGGGTGGACCAATCTTTCTATCTCATGAGATAACAAGGTGTAGAGCTGGATGAACACAGCAGGCCAAGCAGCATCAGAGGAG